GTACCATCACTTTGAAAGTGATCCGGTGCTCAATTGGTAACCAATGCAGCTGTAGTAAGATTGGTGTTATGTGGCGTCTCATCGGAATTCCTGCAAGAAGCCGAGCAGCTGCATTTTGTACCAACTTGAGCTTCCAGATCACCGACAGAGGAAGGCCAATGTAGAGGGCATTACAGTAGTCCAGTCTTGAGATGACCGTAGCCTGGATCACCGTAGCTAGGTCTTCCCTGGACAGGTAGAGGGCCAGCCGTCTTATATATGTGGTTTTGTGCATACGTTGTAATGTATTTTTATTTTTTGGCTTTTTTAGTCTCTTCAGCTGTGTTTTTCAGTGTTTTTATGAGTGATGGTCACTCATTGGCCTGATAGGTGCCTTGTGTCCAAATTTAGTGTCAATTCATCCAGTGGTTTTTGAGTTATGTTAATCCAACAAACAAACATTACATTTTTATTTATATAGATTGATGACGATAACATTAAAATACTAATAATAATAAATGACATATTATGTTACTTATATTATTATATCTTTTATCATCATCATCATCATCATCATCCACACAATTTTTGTTATAAAAGTCACTTTTTATAAGATTGCTGGCGCAGCAGGTTACACCACTGAGCTGCTGAACTTGCTAACTGAAAGGTCAGCAGTTCAAATCCGGGGAGCAGGGTGAGCTCCTACTGTTAGTCTCAGTTTCTGCCAACCTAGCAGTTTGAAAACATGCAAATGCGAGTAGATCAATAAGTACCGCTCTGGCGGGAAGATAACGGCGCTTCATGCAGTCATGCCAGTGGCCAAATGACCTTGGAGGTGTTGAAGGACAACACCGGCTCTTCAGCTTAGAAATGGAGATGAGCACCAGAGTCCCAGAGTTGGACACGACTAGACTTAATGTCAGGGGAAAACATTTACCTTATCTACCTATCTGTCTGTCTGTCTATTTATCTATATAACTATTATCATCAATACGAATACTGTGCCACATTATGATTTTTATTCTTGGGTTATCAATGTCATTTCCTAATTGGTTCTATCATCAAAACATGGACAAAGTTTACTGAACTGCCAAAACTTTGTTTTCAGATGATGATAATAATTACAAAATTACAATAATAATAATAGTATAAGTAATACATATTATATATTATTATTGATAACATCAACATAATAATAATAATAATAATAATAATAATAGTAATAATAATAAACAATATATTGCAGTAATAACATAAAGAATATATCTCTGTAAGAAGCCAGACCTTGAAACCGCTAGGCCACTAATGCTAATCACGGTGGCCAATTGCAACATTCACACCTTCCTCAAACAGACAAAGAGTTCTTTCTCCCACCTTGGACATTATTTCACAGATCTATTAACCCAATTTTCCTAGTTTCCAACAGACCTCACAACCTCTGAGGATGACTTTATCCATACATGCAGGTGAAACATCAGGAGAGAATGCTTCTGGAACATGGCCAGGCACCCCGGAAAACTCACAACAACCCAATATGTCACATATTATATATCTATATATATAAATCTGTTACAACCTAACAGATTTATATATATAGATTAGGCCTGGTTGATCAAGAAAAAATTTGGTTCTAAAATCGATTTGTAATTGGGGTGTTTTTTTGTTTCGATATTTAAAATAATTACAAAATTTCCCCCCTACAATCCGTTAATATTTGCGAAAATTTCGTAAATATTTACGAATTGATTCGTTAAGATGGCGGACCCCCGCGCATGCGCAAAAACACTTCCGAAGCTTCGTTATTGGCGCGGGGTCGTTTCGTTAAGGTTATAACGAATCGATTCGTTAAAACGGCGGACGCATTTGCGCATGCGCAAAAGCGACTTCCGAAACTTCGTTATTAAATACGAATCGATTCGCTATTAAAATAATAACGAATCGATTCGTTTTGTATTTTTTAAGAATAAAAGACAGGTATTTTTAGAAAATATTCAAAAATGGAAACTTAACCAAAAACTGGCCCTGATGTAGAGCTAACACAGCCACGAGACAGGACAAATGAGAGCACACAGCAACAGAAGAGTCTTTTCTTTTTTAGAATATTTTTTGTATTTTTTTAAGAATAAAAGGCAGGTATTTTTAGAAAATATTCAAAAATGGAAAATTAATCTAAAGCTAACACAGCCAAAAGACAGCCAAAAGCACACACCAACAGAAGAGTCTCAAGCCAACCCAATGCAAGTCTTTTTGCTACCGCAACCAAGCCAACCCAAAGCAAGCAGCCCTCCCGGACCTCTCTCCTCCCTCGCCTCCGCGCAACAAATGAGCTCTGCGGCCACGCGGAGCCGCTTTTAAAGGCCTTGCCGGCCAATCAAAATCAGCCACGGTGCACTGCTTGGGTGCTTGGGAGCGCCGGATTGGCTCCCAGGCACCAGCATCCTCCATCCCATTTCCGAAACGGGCGGAAGCTCGTTAAAAGGATGGGGGATGCCGCTTCGATATTTTTAAACCCTTCCGGGTTTGAAAATGTGTTTTGTTATCGTTTCGTAAATGCTAAAAATAACGAATAATTAACGAATTAACGAACGAAACCGCCCAGGCCTAATATAGATATATAATATGTGACAACGGGACAGCAAAACTCCACAACCCCCCAACGAAACTTAACCAAAATTCCCATGCCCATAACACAACCCACAAGGTACAAACATATCTACTCAAAATGAAAAACAACACAACAACACACTCACAAAATGGCAAAACAACAAAACTCAAAAAAACCCCAACGAAACTTAACCAAAATTCCCATGCCCATAACACAACCCACAAGGTACAAACATATCTACTCAAAATGAAAAACAACACAACAACACACTCACAAAATGGCAAAACAACAAAACTCACAAACCCCCCAACGAAACTTAACCAAAATTCCCATGCCCATAACACAACCCACAAGGTACAAACATATCTACTCAAAATGAAAAACAACACAACAACACACTCACAAAACGGCAAAACAACTGAGCATGCGCATTGGTGCCCAGCCGCAAGTTCCCTGGCGCGCGCACACAGCCTTCCGGCCAACGTTCCCTCTGCGGAAGCCATGCCCACTCCAAGCCCCGCCGCGCCGCTTCCCGCACACACACACACCCTGCCACACGCACACACACAACCCCACGCTCCATCACTCCCCCCGCCGCCGCACACACACACGCAACCCCACGCTCCATCACTCCCCCCGCCGCACACACACACGCAACCCCACGCTCCATCACTCCCCCCCCACGCACACACGCAACCCCACGCCCCCTCCGCCGCCGCACACACACACGCAACCCCAGGCTCCATCATTCCCCCGCCGCCGCACACACACACGCAACACCCTCCCCCCCCGCCGCCACACACACACACGCAACCCCACGCTCCATCACTCCCCCGCCGCCGCACACACACACGCAACCCCACGCTCCATCACTCCCCCCGCCGCCGCACACACACACGCAACCCCACGCTCCATCACTCCCGCCGCCGCACACACACACGCAACCCCACGCTCCATCACTCCCCCCCCGCACACACACACGCAACCCCACGCTCCATCACCCGCCGCACACACACACAACCCCACGCTCCATCACTCCCCCCGGCGCCGCACACACACACGCAACCCCACGCTCCATCTCCCCGCCGCCGCACACACACACGCAACCCCACCCCTCCCCGCCGCCACACACACACTCGAGAAAGAGAAGAAGGGAAAGAAAGAAAGAGAGAAGGAAGGAAAGAGAGACAGAAGAAGAGAAAGAAAAAGGGGGACGGAAGGAAAGAAATAGAGGAGGACGGAAGAAGAGAAGGAAAGACGGGAGGGAGGAAGGGAGGGAGGGAAGGAAGGAAAGAGGGAGTGAAGGAAGGGGGAAGATGTAGAGAAAGAGGGAGGAAGGAAAGAAGGAAAGATAGAAGAGAGGGAGGGAAAGAAAAAGGGAAGGAAGGAAGAAGGAAAGAAAAAAGGGAATGAAGGAAGGAAAGAGGGAGTGAAGGAAGGGGGAAGATGTAGATAAAGAGGGAGGGAAGGAAAGAAGGAAAGAGAGAAGGAAGAAAAGAGACCAGAAGAGAAAGAAAAAGGGGGAAGGAAGGAAAGAGATAGAGAAGGAAGAGGAGAAGGAAAGATGGGAGGGAAGGAAGGAAGGAGGGAAAGAAGGAGAGAAAGAGGGAAGGTTGGCCACAGCAACGCGTGGCGGGTAAAGGTTGTTATTTCTATTATTATTATTATGCTATTATTCCTATGAGACCCTTTTAGGGGGAATGGGAGAGGTGTCAGGTCCCAGAGGCAATGCATTGCATTATTGTTATTGTTATGATGGTGGGAAAATAAAAGGAAATAAAAAGTGAAAGAAGGAAGCAAACAGGGAGGGAAGAAAGGAAAAGGAAGAAAGGGGGAGGGAATGAAGGAAAGAGAGAAGGATGAAACCAAGTAGTGAAAGAAGGAAAGAAAGAAAGAGGTAGAGACGGAAGAAAGGAGAGAAAGGGGGAGGAAAAGGGGGAAGGAATAGGTAGGTACCTCTCTTTCATAATAGTCCAGATATCTACCTCAACTTTGATAAGTTTTACTATAGGCCACAGCAACGCGTGGCAGGGCACAGCTAGTATATTACTATTATCATCAATTACAACACTATGTCACATGATTTTTGTCCCTAGGTTTTCAATGTCATTTCCTAATTGGTTCAATCATGAAGACATGGAAAAAGTTTATTAAACCGCACAAACTTTGTCTTTGCGGGAGGGACATCACTTTGCTATAGCGGATTTTGCTCTCATCTTTCAATGAATTTCTCATCATCGAGTCTCAACCCATTCAGCCACAAAAACAATGAAGTTTCTGGAGTAGAACAACTACTTTCAAAGGAAGGACCGCATAATGAAACAGAAATAATACTTTCCAAACAGGAACACCAACTTTTTCAGGTTGTGTTTCATAGTGTATTCAACCCCGCTGAGGGACGCTCTGATTCACTCACGTTGTGGAGGCAGTCCGGGAGCTGCAGGCGCTCCTCCAGCAGATCAGCCCACAGGTCTTCGGGAATTTCCTGGAAAGACAGAAGAGGAGGGTGAATCCCACGCTGCCCAGGCTCTGTCCCAAAACAGGGATTCAGTCCCTGAGCAAACCCCACTAAAGTTTGGACTTAACTCCAGGATGAACTTCATGAAAGTTGGGGTTGAAATCTAGGATAAACCTCATGAAAGTTTGAACTGAAATCCAGAATGAACTCCACTAAAGTTTGGACTAAAACCCAGGACAAACTCCATCTAAGTTTGGGCTAAAACCCAGAGCAAACTCCATTAAAGTTTGCAATGAAACCCAGGACAAACACCATCCAAGTTGGCCTGCAATCCAGAGCAAAGTCCATCAACGTCTGGACTAAACTCCAGAGCAAACTCAATTAAAGTGTGCACTGAAACCCCAATCAAATTCCTTCCAAAGTCTGGACTGAAACCCAGGACAAAATCCATGAAATCTTGGACTAAAAACCAGAGCAAACTCGATTAAAGTCTGCAATTAAACCCAGGACAAACTCCCATCAAAGTTTGGACTAAACTTCATCAAAGTTGGCCTGAAACCCAGAGCAAACTATGAAAGTTTGAACTAAACTCCAGAGCAAACTCAATTGAAGTGCTCCAAGCAAACTCCAAGCAAACTCCAAAGTTGGCCTGAAACCCAGAGCAAACTCCATCAAAGTTTGGACTCAACTCCAGAACAAAGTCAGTTGAAGTGTGTTCCATCAAAGTTTGGACTAAACTTATTCAAAGTTGGCCTGAAACCCAGAGCAAACTCTATGAAAGTTTGGACTAAAACCCAGAGCAAACTTGATTCAAGTTTGCAATGAAATCCAGGACAAACTCCATCAAAGTTGGCCTGAAACCTAGAGCAAACTCCATCAAAGTGTGGACTAAACTCCAGAGCAAACTCAGTTGAAGTGTACACTGAAACCCCAATCAAATTCCATCAAAGTTTGGACTGAAATCCAGGACAAACTCCATCAAAGTTTGGACTAAATTCCAGAGCAAACTCGGTTGAAGTGTGCACTGAGACTCCAAGCAAACTTCATCAAAGTGTAGTCTAAACTCCAGCAAACTCAATTAAAGTGTGCACTGAAACCCCACTCAAATTCCATCCAAGTTTGGCTGAAATCTAGGACAAACTCCATTAAAGTTTGGACTAAAAGCCAGAGCAAACTCCATGAAACTTGGCCTGCAATCCATAGCAAACTCTATGGAAGTTTGGACTAAACTCCATCAAAGTTGGCCTGAAACCCAGAGCAAACTCTATGAAAAATTGGACTAAAAGCCAAACTCAATTAAAGTGTGCACTGAAAGCCCAAATTCCATCCAAATTTGGCCTGAAACCCAGAGCAAACTCCATCAAAGTTGGCCTGAAACCCAGAGCAAACTCCATCAAAGTTTGGACTAAACTCCATCAGAGTTGGCCTGAAACCCAGAGCAAACTCTATGAAAAATTGGACTAAAAGCCAGAGCACACTCGATTCAAGTTTGCAATGAAACCCAAGACAAACTCCATTGAAGTGTGGACTAAACTCCAAAGCAAACTCAATTAATGTGTGCACTGAAACCCCAATCAATTTCCATCAAAGTTTGGACTGAAACCCAGGACAAACTCCATGAAATTTTGGACTAAAACCCACAGCAAACTCGATTAAAGGTTGCATGAAACCTAGGAGAAACTCCATCAAAGTTTGGCCTAAAACCCAGAGCAAACTCCATCAAAGTTTGGACTAAACTCCAGAGCAAACTCAGTTGATGTGTGTACTGAGACTCCAAGCAAACTCCATCAAAGTTTGGCCTAAAACCCAGAGCAAACTCCATAAAAGTTTGGACTAAACTCCAGAGCAAACTCAGTTGAAGTGTGTACTGAGACTCCAAGCAAACTCCATCAAAGTTTGGCCTGAAACCCAGAGAAAACTCCATGAAAGTTCAAACCAAAATCCAGTACAAATCCACAGCAAACTCCACAGCAAATCCACAGCAAACTCCATCAGTTCAAATGCAATTAAAGTGTGTACTGAAACCCCAAGGAAAGTTTGGACTGAAACCCAGGCCAAAATCCATGAAAATTTGGACTAAATTCCAGAGCAAACTCCATGAAAGTTTGGACCAAAACCCAGGAGACCCCCTTGGAGTGGACCCAGCCTGCTGCCTGACTCAGGCCTCTCTCTGAGGGTCCCATGAGAGGCAGCCTTTCAGGAGGGGACCCCATTTGCGCAGGTAGAGAGCAGTGAATGCACGCGGGCGTCAAATCTTCCTTTTCCTTCCTTCCTTCCTCCTTCTCCTCCTCCCTCCTGTGCCTTCCCGGCTGGAGCCCGGACCAGAGGAGCCGCTGGCTGCCTTTGAGGCTGTCATCTTCCAAGGGCGCCTGCCTGCCTCCCGCCGCCAGCCTCCCGCTCGTTCGCTTGCTCGCTTGCTCAATCTGGGCTTTGAAGTGTCATCTCAAGGAAGGAGGGGCTGCCAAGACCTGCCAACACACTCAGGATCAGAGTCCCCCCAAACTTCTTCCGCAGAGCCAAATGCTTCCCAAGAAGCTGGAGGCGGGTGCGTTCGCTCAAGGGACATGTGGCCTCTTTCTGCTCTCTTCTCTAGGATTCTATGGCTCTTTGGGCCTGGTTCTTTTACCCAGGTCTAATGGCACAGGGTGGCTTTCCATCCGGGGCGTCAGGCTCGGTGTTCTGGGCACCAACACTGGCCTTGCTGCCTTCCCTTCACCTTCCCCCAAAAAGAGATCCCTCAGCTTCCCCTCTTTGCCAGGAGAAGATGGAAAGGAAAGGAGGAAAACAGGAGGAAGGAACGAACGAACGAAAGAGAAGAGAAGGAAGGGAAAGTGAAGGACGGGTGGAAGGAAAAAAACAGATGGAAGGAAGCAAGGAAGGATAGATGTCAAGGGAGGGAGGGAAAGAGAACGAATTGAGAAGAGAATAGAAGAAAGGACAAGATAGCAAGGAAAGAAGAAAAGGAAAGAGAAGGAAAGAAGGAAGAACAAACAAAGGATGGATGGAAGTAAACGGATGGAAGGAAGGAAGGAAGGAAGGAAGGAAGGAAGGAAGGAAGGAAGCAAGCAAGCAAGCAAGGCAGGCAGGCAGGCAGGCAAGCAAGCAAGCAAGCAAGCAAGGAAGGAAGGAAGGAAGGAAGGAAGGAAGGAAGGAAGGAACGAAGGAACGAAGGAAGGAAGGTAGGTTAATGAAGGACAGATAGATGGAAGGAAGGAATCAGATGGATGAATGGATGGATGGATGGATGGATGGATGGATAGAAGGAAGGGGAAGAGAAGGAAGTGAAAATGAAGGGCGGATAGATGAAAGGAAGGAAACAGAAGGAAGGAAGGAAGGAAGGAAGGAAGGAAGGAAGGAAGGGTAAATGAAGGACAGATAGATGGAAGGAAGGAATAAGAAGGATGGATGGATGGATGGATAGAAGGAAGGGGAAGAGAAGGAAGTGGAAAATGAAGGGGAAGAGAAAGGAAGGAAAACAGAAGGAAGGAAGGAAGGAAGGAAGGAAGGAAGGAAAGGAAGGAAGGAAGGAAGGAAGAAGGAAGGAAGGAAGGAAGAAAGAGAAGGAAGGAAGGAGGAGAGAAAGGAAGAAAAGAAGGAGGAGAGAGGAAGGAAGGAAGGAAAAAAAGGAAGGAAGGAAGGAAGGATGGAAGAAGGAAGGAAGGAAGGAAGGAAGGAAGAAGGAAGGAAGGAAGTAGGAAGGAAAGGAAGGAAGAAAGAGAAGAAGGAAGGAAGAAGGGATAGAAGGAAGGGAAGGAAAAGAAGGGAGGAAGGGGAGGGAGAAAGAAGAAGGGAGAAAGGAAGGAAACAAATGGATGGATGAATGGAAGGAAGGGAGAAGATGGCAAGAAAGGGAGGAATTCTTATTATTATATTTCTTTTAGACTAAACTCCATCAAAGTTTGGACTAAACTCCAGTAAAAACCTCATAAAAATCCAGAGAAAAGAGAAAGGGAAAAACAGACGGAAGGAAGGAAGGCCGAGATGGCAAGAAAGGGGGAGAAAGGAAGGGAGGGAGGGAAAGAGGACAAATGGAAGGAAGGAGCTTTTGAAGGCCTTTCCCCTTTTACCTCTCACTATGCAGCATCCCCCCCCCCAAATAAGGCCAAAAAAAGGGGGCTTGTCATGCAGTGAAGGGATCCCTTGGCCTCTCCTCCCCCCCCCCCCCAATCTCTTTGCCTTTTATGTCCCATCCCATAATACTCAAGGAAACCCTACTGGGCACCCTTGAAAGTGCCAGCTGATTAGCTTGAAATATGCTAATAATGAGAGTAATTAAGCCAAAGGGGATTCTTGCACACTTTTGTGTGTGTATGTGTGTTGCATTTTCTCCTTCCCGGTTAATTGTTGTTTTTTTCCACACAACGGATTTGGGAATTCCTCTTTATCAATTGACTTGATTGCAACCACCCCATAAGTATTATTCTGCAGACTAAACTACAGTGAAACTCATCCCAACTTCACTGGGGAAATTTGCTTTGAGAGGTGAGTGTTTCTGACTTAAGAGCTCCACCATGGAATGAATCAAACTCTTAAGTGAAGGCACCACAATAATAACATTTCAATGCAAAAATTTGCTTTGCGATCAGAGTGATTTGAGCAAAGAGCTTGGTCATGGAACGAATTTAACTCTTAACTCAAAGTATCACTATAATTGCATTTCAATGCGCACATTTATTTTGAGATAAGAGCAATTTGAGCAAAGAGTTGGTCACTGAACAAATTAAACTGTTAAGTCAATGTATCATGGTAACAGTATTTGAGAAACCACTTTGAGATCAGAGCATTTTGAGCTAAGAGCTTGGTCACAGAACAAATTAAACTCTTAATTCAAAATATCATTGTAATAGCATTTCAATGCGAAAAATCACTTTGAGATCAGAGCATTTTGAGCTAAGAGCTTGGTCAGAGAACAAATTAAACTTAAGGTATCATTGTATTAGCATTTAAATAGCATTTAATAGCATTTGCATTTTAGTGTGTCAAAAGTGATACCATGTCACTTGTTATAGGGCCTAAATATTCTAAAGGCACCAGATCCTGTCTGTTCATAGAAGCAAAACAGGATGGGTACTTGAATGGGAGACCACCAGGTGTTGCAGGCTATATTTCAGAAGAAGGCAAAATGACCTCCAAGTATTATTTGAAATCCATGAGGGCGCCATTAGTAAACAGACAATGTGAAGGCACTTACTGACATATACACGTACTTCTAGCTCTCAATTGGGGAGATTATTTACCAGTTAGGGGGCAGAATATCTAAAGTTGTGGGGGCTCCAGTGGGAGGGAAGGAAAATGGTTGCATTTTCAGGCACCATTCAGTTGATTTAACCAGATTTGAAGAGATTACTCCAAAATTCCCAGGATATATTTTAATGTTTGTATATATTTATGGTTTTATGTCCCAGCATTTTTTTGCCGTATATATGTTGTGCTCCGCCCTGAGTCCCCTGCGGGGTGAGAAGGGTGGAATATAAATGTTTTAAATAAATAAATAAATAAGGAGATCGCTTTGTGATCAGAGCATTTTGAGCTCTGATTAATTCGGAACGAATTAAACTCTTAACTCAAAGTATCACTGTAATAGTATTTCAATACGAAAAATCACTTTGAGTTCAGAGCATTTTGAGCGAAGAGTTCGGTCACGGAACAAATTAAACTCTTAAGCCAAGACATCATGGTATTAGCATTTAAATAGGGAAATTACGAATGCAAAGCTGGGGTGAAAATTGCTGGAAGAAACATTAACAACCTCAGATATGCAGATGACACCACTCTGATGGCCGAAAGCGAGGAGGAGCTGAGGAGCCTTCTAATCAAGGTGAAAGAAGAAAGCGCAAAAGCCGGGTTGCAGCTAAACGTCAAAAAAACCAAGATTATGGCAACAAGAATGATTGACAACTGGAAAATAGAGGGAGAAAATGTGGAGGCCGTGACAGACTTTGTATTTCTAGGTGCAAAGATTACTGCAGCTGCAGACTGTGGCCAGGAAATCAGAAGACGCTTACTTCTTGGGAGGAGAGCAATGTCCAATCGCGATAAAATAGTAAAGAGTAGAGACATCAGACTGGCAACAAAGATCCGCCTAGTCAAAGCCATGGTATTCCCTGTAGTAACCTACGGATGTGAGAGCTGGACCTTAGGGAAGGCTGAGCGAAGGAAGATCGATGCTTTTGAGCTGTGGTGTTGGAGGAAAGTGCTGAGAGTGCCTTGGACTGCGAGAAGACCCAACCAGTCCATCCTCCAGGAAATAAAGCCCGACTGCTCACTGGAGGGAAAGATACTAGAGACAAAGTTGAAGTACTTTGGCCACATCATGAGGAGACAGGAAAGCCTAGAGAAAGACAATTATGCTGGGGAAAGTGGAAGGCAAAAGGAAGAGGGGCCGACCAAGGGCAAGATGGATGGATGGCATCCTTGAAGTGACTGGACTGACCTTGAGAGACCTTGAGGGAGCTGGGGGTGGTAACGGCCGACAGGGAGCTCTAGCGTAGGCTGGTCCATGAGGTCACGAAGAGTCGGAGACGACTGAACGAATGAACAACAACAACAACCATGATGTCTTGGCTTAAGAGCATTTTGAACTAAGAACGAATTAAACTCTTAACTCAAGGCATCACTGCATTGAATTTTAAATCTCGTTTTTAGTTTCTGATTGGAAGATGAGAGATATTTGGGCTCTGGGCTGCAGCACTCTTTAAGTGTTTTGATTACTATATAAACTCAAGAATAAGCCAAGTTTTTAGATTGAAAAAGCATCCGCTCGGCTTATATTTGAGTCAAAGTTATTACATTTAATATTTTACTCTATTATTCTATTTTTATTACATGTATTATTGTACTTTATTATTATAACTATGACATTTATTACTTTATTATTATTATTATTACATTTACATTATTTTACTTATTATTATTTTTGTTTTTATTACATTTATTATTTTACTCTATTATTGTTATTACATTTATTATTTTACACTATTTATTGTTATTATTATAACAATTCCATTATTTCACTTTAGAGTAAAATAATAAATGTAATAACAACAATAATAAATAGAGTAAAATAATACATGTAATACAGATAATAATGGAAGAATTATTATAACAATTCAATTATTTCACTTTATTATTATTATTATTTGTATTACATTTATTATTTTACTCTATTATTATTTGTATTACATTTATTATTTTCCTGAAGCAGGGACGGCCAGTTCCTTTGTAATAGTGGTTTTTTTTTTCCCTCACACTGTACTTATACTCAAGTATAAGCCAACCCAAATATATCGGCTTATATTTGGGTTGGCTTATACTTATACTTATACTTATAATTATACTTATTATTATTATTATTATTATTATTATTATTATTATTATTATTATTAACTAGCTGTCCCCTGCCATGTGTTGCTGTGGCCCAGTCTGGTGATCTGGAAATGAAGTAATGAGAATGTGTTGGTTTCTAATATATGCAATGTCTTTATGCTTGAGGGTAAACAGTATTTCTTGATGTTTCTTTGGCAGTGTTGATGTGGAGATTGTCTGGTTTGCCTACTCTGGAACATATAACATATCATTGTCCTTCTTTAGGGGTCCCTTTGAAATCTTTGATACTGCATCTGTCATATACATATATGTGTGTGTGTGAATGGCTGGATGGCCCTTTGTCAGGAGGGCTTTGTTTTGTTGCCTTGGTGAAGGGTGCTGGACTGGATGGCCTTAAGGCAGCATTTCTCAACCTGGGAAGTCAATACACCAAGGGGGGGGGGTCACCAGGGGGGTGTCAGAAGGGTCCCCAAAGACCATCAGGAAACACAGTATTTCCTGTTGGTCATGGGGGTTTTGTGTGGGATGTTTGGCCCAATTCCATCGTTGGTGAGGTTTGGAATGCTCCTTGATTGTAGGTGAACTATAAATCCCAGTAACTACAACTCCCAAATGTCAAGGTCTATTTCCCACAAACTCCATCTGTGTTTATATTTGGGCATATTGAGTATTCATGCCAAATTTCGTCCAGAAACTTCATTGTTTGAGTCCACAGTGCTCTCTGGATATAGGTGAACTACAACTCCCAAACTCAAGGTCAATGCCCTCCAAACCTTTCCAGTATTTTCTGTTGGTCATGGGAGTTCTGTGTGCCAAGTCTGGTTCAATTCCATCGTTGGTGGAGTTCAGAATGCTCTTTGATTGTAGGTGAGCTATAAATCCCAGCAACTACAACTCCCAAATGACAAAATCATAATTTTTTGATTGATGGTCACTCCTTGTGTAGTGAGACATTTTGTTGCCAAATTTGGTGTGATTTCGCTCATTGGTTCTTTTGTTTTTAAGGTACTCATTATGCACAGAGCATTTATATATATATAGATAACAACCCCCAGAGTCAGACACGACTGGACTTAATGTCAGGGGAGAACCTTTAAGTCCACCCTATTATTATTACCTCCTTCCTGGCCTGGAACTCCCGTACGCTGGCCGTCAGGGAGGACCAATCGCTGTCCAGAAGCGTCTCCTGTGAGAGCCACGGGGCCGACAGGTGCTTGCTCAGCCACATCGCCTGCAGGAAGAGAAAGTGTGTGAGGAACCATGAAGGGAGAATAGTCCATGAGTGGGGGCATCTGCCCCTAGAAGAAGCCTGCTCTTTGTTCCCTTGTGATTCTATGATGTTCCTGAAGGGAACGGGGATGATGGTCTGTCTCCTGGGCCTAGTTTTAAGGATGTCAGGCTTAGACAGTTGATGGTTTAGATAGGCCTGTGTTGCTGCAAAGGGAATCTCAAGGTCTTGAGCCTGGGAGAAGCTCTGAGCTACAGTCACAAGGTCATCTCCAGATGCGCCGCGCTTGACGCGTCAAGCCAACTCTGACCGGGACAGCCTTCCACCTGGAAACCAATGCCTTCACTGAGTCTGTGGGAGAAGATGCGGGTCAAGAATAGGGCTCCACAGCCACCTACGAATCCACAAGGAAACCCATCATGGAAGACCATCTTACTCGTCCAACGAGGGATCGCCTAAGTAAGTAAGTATCTCCAGATGTAGAATTTAATGAGGCCTTGAACAGACAAAGAGCTTTCAGTCAGCAGAAACAAACAAATGGGAATCTAAGGTGCTCATTTATTATTATTATTATTATTATTATTATTATTATTATTATTATTATTATTACAGCAGAGGCTAGTAGACAAACCAAAACTAAGAAAAAAATCCGTTTCTTGCGGTTTGGGAAACAAAGTAGATACATATTGCCAAGTACGGAACTTAGCTTCAGAAGAAGCATTGTTGGATTCTACAGATAGTTCTCCATGCCATGTTCCTGGTTCATTGGATTATCTGGGACATTATTATTATTATTATTATTATTATTATAAAGTCCCAGATAATCCAATGAACCAGGGGCTTTAATCCAAAGGCAAAAACAACAGCAAAGGTATTTAAAAAGAAATCAATCAAAGAACAAGGTCCAGGAACATAATAATAATAATAATTAATAATTATAATAATTATAATGAACCCCCGGTGGCATAGTGGGTTAAAGCACTGTGCCGGCAGGACTGAAGACTGACAGGTCACAGGTTCGAATCCGGGGAGAGGCGGATGAGCTCCCTCTATTAGCTCCAGCTCTTCATGCGGGGACATGAGAGAAGCCTCCCACAAGGATGATAAAACATCAAAAATCATCCAGGCATCCCTGGGCAACGTCCTTGCAGACGGCCAATTCTCTCACAACAGGAGCGTTTGCTCCTGACACGACAAATAATAATAATAATAATAATAATAATAATAATAATAATAACTTTATTTATACCCCGTTACCATCTCCCCAAGGGACTCGATGTGGCTTACATGAGGCTTTCTTTGTGGATTCATTGCTCTTACTCCTATTCAATTGGATTTACCTTTTTACTGTGGATTTCTTTATTTGCTGTGGCTTTTACTATTTTCAATAAACTATTTTAACTCAACTGTGTGGTGTTGAGAGTCAGAGGGGATCCTGCTCTGGACTGCAACACTTCCTCTCTCTTGAAATTGTCCACCTGCTTCTTGTGGATTTCAATGGCTTCTCTGTGTAGCCTGACATAGGGGTTGTCAAAGGCTTTTATGGCTGGAATCATTGGGTTGTTGTAGGTTTTTTAAGCTATATGGCCATGTTCTATAAGCATTATCTCCTGACGTTTTGCCTGCATCTATGGCAAGCATCCTGAGAGACCTCACAACCTCTGAGGAGGTTGACCACACGGACGGATGGGGATGAATAGTTATTTTATTCGGACGACTTGGCCTTATGTACTAATATGATTGTATTTTAATGTGTTTTATATCAGTGTATTATTGGATGTGTTGTTTTAAACTATTGTGTGTGAATTCCTCTGTTGTAAACCGGCCTGAGTCCCTCACTGGAGGTGAGAAGATAGCCCAAAAAACCTACAACAACCCAGTGATATAGGGTTGTCAGAGTGGTCCGGAATTCCTGTGCAGATGCCCTCCTTAATTGACTATGCAAAACTCAGGGATGCTCACATGCTAATGGATGGATTCCACTCAAACACTTGTCAATCAAGCTTGCTAAGTGCACCCTTCACACTTGTGTAACGGGCAATGGTTCTTTCTCCTACCTGGGACATTCCACAGGTATACATACTCTACTTTTTTAATACCATCTGACTCTCTGAAGATGCCAGTAGCCACAGATGCAGGCAAAACGAAAAAATGAGGAAATGCTGCTAGAAGACACTGGCCATACAGCTTGGAAACAAGCCACACAATAAACCAAAGATACTACTTACAGTTATGACACTTAGGGAGGATATTACTCTACAAACACCTTTCCCATAACATGGGGGTGATAATTGCAGTGTTCCCTCGCTACTTCACAGTTCACTTTACGCAGACTCGCTGTTTTGCAGATTTTTTAAATAAATATTAATATAAAATATTTACATTACAACGGGCCTCGGAAAGGGAGGCTGCTGTGTGGCCCCTTGCGTCCTGTTGCTTTTTTTTGCTCATTCCATTGCTTGCTTGGGCTGCAAGTGGATGTGCTTTGTCCTCCTCCGTCAGAGGTCCTGATGCCACCCCAACAACATTCAGGCCTGCCTGCCTGGCCTCCATGGACCCCGGTGGAGCAGCAGCCTGAAGTGCAGTGGGGCTCCGGAGGCGGGTAAGGAAGCACGAGGGCTAGACTACGCATCCACACTTCTTATACATATGCTACAATAATGTATAAATATTACAATTAATTTGGCGTCCCTACTTTGTGGATTTTCACTTATCATGGGTGGTCCTGGAACGTAACTCCTGCAATAAGTGAGTGAACACTGTATTACTACTACTACTACTACTACTACTACTATGTTTATGAACATGCCATGCCATGCAGAGACACAGGACATGCGATGGAGGCCCCAAGGGCCAGACTCTTGGCCTTTCTTTCCTCCAAGGACCACAATACACACACACACAGACTTACAAGGGTAGTTTTCCCAGAGGCAGGAGGGCCCAGGAGAAGGATCCTTGGAACTGGAGACAGGAGGAAAAGACAAACATGTCAGTCATTAGGCACACGTTAGGCAGAGTAAGCTCTGGGGCAGCAAAAGAAAGCAGGGCCTTCCCAGTGTCGAAGGGAGATGGAGTGCGGCCCATTTCATAGCTGCCTCTAGTGCTTGTGTTACCTTTCAATCCAACTTGAGTGAAGGTAACAAGTGTGCATGTATTACAACCAAGTGGAAATATTAAAACTTTGGCTGTTCTGCTCTGACACATCCTCACAATTTTGGTGATACCTTACATACTTAAGGTTGCATGCTGCAAGTCACTTCTGGTCGCTTCTGGAGTGAGAGAATCAGCTGTCTATGAAGACATTGCCCAGGGGACGCCCAGATGCACCACCTGACATCCGCTGGGAAGTAGCACCCAATAGTGAAAGGATCAAGGCAGTGACATCTCTGGCCCATCCCCTGTTTGGATATCAGTCAGCACGCCAACGACTTAAATCAAGAAATAGTTTTCTAAGATCTACAGAGACCCTTGCAGGAACACCTCAGCAAGTGAGAGTCCAAAAGTGGCAGGCTCAAACCCATGGCTGATACCAAATGAGACTCCCCCCTGGGTACACAAAAAACTGGCAACCTGGAAGGCGCTGAACAGACTGCGCTCTGGCACCACGAGACACAGAGATAACCTTCAGAAATGGGGACACAAAGTGGAGTCCACGACATGCAAGTGGGGAGAGGAGCAAACCACAGACCACCAACTACAATGCAGCCTGAGCCCTGCCACATGCACAATGGAGGACCTTCTTATAGCGATACCAGAGGCACTCCAAGTGTCAGAGGACATTTCATAGAATTTGCAAACTTTGTGTTTTTGTTTTGTTTTTAAATACAATACAACTGTTTGGTTTGCTCCTGGTACGATAAATAAAATCCTTCCTTCCACCTGGTCAAAGGACATTTAATAGAATGCCAAGTTTGCAAACTTTGTGTTTTTGTTTTGTTTTTAAATACAATACAACTGTTTGGTTTGCTCCTGATACGATAAATAAAATCCTTCCTTCTACCTGTCCTTTCTTTTGCTGGGCCCCCTCGATCACCTTCCTGCCTTCTCGACAGGTATTCCTGCTGCTGGACGAGGGGAAAGCTTTTCCGCTTTCCCCTCACGCCTGCCTCCTTGCCTCCCTCCTGGGCAGAGCCAGGAAGATGAGAGAGAAGCCTCCTGCGTGTGCCGCGGAGGTTACAGGCAGGCGGCAAAACTTTCCCGGCCTGCAAGTGGTTCCTTTGCTGCCTGCCCTCCTTTTGTCTGCAGCCCTCTCCCCTCATCTCCCATTCTCCCTGCTCTGCCTCTTTGGGTTGAGAGCAAGATGAAAGGCAGAGGGAAGGAAGGAAAGAAGAAAGGAAGGAGGGAGGGAGGACAGAGAGAAGAGAGGCCCAGCGGCCGCCCTCCGCCTCCACCACGGTGGAGAGCCATGCTCTCATGTCCTTCTCCTTCTTCTTCGTTAGCTGGACGTGAGCGGGTTTCTAATTGGCGCTCCCGTCTTGAGCACTGTTGCGGCCTTAATGATTAAAATATGGGGGAAGGTCCCAGCGCAATGAAGCGGCCGCCTCGCCAAGGCGGATTAAGGCAGGGAATGGTTTAATTAAGGGCAGGAAATTTAATTGAAGCGGAGCCCTCCTGAAAAGGCCAAGGAGTGTTCCTGGCCAAGATGGAGGCAGGTGCGCGGATTGGGAAAGGACGCCCGGAAACAGGGGCAAAGCGCAAACACCGCAACTGCAGAAATTGGGGATAGCGCAAACACCGCAATCGCAGAAATTGGGGGAAGAACAAACACTGCAATCCCAGAAATTGGGGAAAGCACAAACACTGCAATTGCAGAAACTGGGGAAAGCGCAAACATCGCAATCGCAGAAATTGGGGAAAGCGCAAACACCACAATCGCAGAAATTGGGGAAAGCGCAAACACCGCAATCGCAAAAATTGGGGGAAGAACAAACTGCAATTGCAGAAATTGGGGAAAGCACAAACACCGCAATTGCAGAAACTGGGGAAAGCGCAAACATCGCAATCACAGAAATTGGGGAAAGCGCAAACACCGCAATTGCAGAAATTGGGGAAAGCGCAAACATCGCAATTGCAGAAATTGGGGAAAGCGCAAACACCGCAATCGCAGAAATTGGGGAAAGCGCAAACACCGCAATCGCAGAAATTGAGGAAAGCGCAAACACCGCAATTGCAGAAATTGGGGAAAGCGCAAATACCGCAATCTCAGAAATTGGGGAAAGCGCAAACTTTAAGATCGTCTGGGGAAGCCCTGCTCTCGGTCCCGCCTGCATCGCAGGCGCGTTTGGCGGGGACGAGAGACAGGGCCTTCTCAGTGGTGGCCCCTCGGCTATGGAATGCCTTACCAGCAGACATCAGACAGGCACCTTCGTTGCTGGCGTTTCAGAGAAAGGTCAAGACTTGGCTTTATGAACAAGCGTTTGGTTAAACAGTACAACCGAACATAGCAAGACGGTTAATGGAACATAGGAATGGCACAAGGATTATGAGAACGGATCTGATTTCACGGAGGCGATGTTTGATTTGTTAATGGTGTTGATTGATGCTATTGATTTTGTTGTTATTTGTTATGTTTTAATTGCACTGACATTGTTATGATAACCTGTACCATGTAAACCGCATTGAGTCGCCTGTATAGGCTGAAAAATGCGGTATACAAATAAAGCAAATAAAATAAATAAATAAATAAACACCGCAAACGCAGAAATTGGGGAAAGCGTAAACACCGCAATCGTAGAAATTGGGGAAAGCACAAACACCGCAATCGCAAACTTCGGAAACGGAGCACGAGGAGCGCAAAACAAACAACGCACTTATGCAGATGACTCCAGGCTCCTTTTATTTAAAAAAAACCCCGAAAAACGAGTCCCTTCCAATTAAAAATATCCTCAAAAAGCATTTCAGGCGGTTACGGTGGTTCTGAAGAGAGATCTCGAGCAAAATCCCAAATGCTTTTCATCAATTATACATTGGCAAGGAACAAAAACACCTTTAAATCCTCTTCCCGAGGCGAGTTCGCTCTTTAAGTTTCAGGCAGGGAGGGAGGGTTGAGAACGAAGGGAAACTTCCCGTCGATCCTCAGATAGATCATCCGATGCCATCGAAAACTTGGCCCAAATGACGCTTGTCTTTCATGTGCTGACAAACACCAGTTGAGTGCAGGGACTCTGAAGTATCGGGATTGCGATAACTTGTGTAATTTGCACAGTTTGTTTATTGTGTTGCACGGTTTGTTGATTGCAGGAATTACCTCTAAAAATGGATATGTGTTTAATTAGGAAGAAATCTGTTGACAATGAGGTTTGTCATTGGAATTGCTCTAGAGCAGTGTCTCTCCACCTTCCTAATGCCGCAACCCCTTAATACAGTTCCTCATTCCATCTGAACATTAGGAAGAACTTCCTGACTGCAAGAGCTGTTCAGCAGTGGAACTCTCTGCCCGGAGTGTAGTGGAGGCTCCTTCTTGGAGGCTTTGAAACAGAGGCTGAATGGCCATCTGTCAGGGGTGCTTTGAATGCAATTTTCCTGCTTCTTTGCAGAATGGGGTTGGACTGGGTGGCTCATGAGGTCTCTTCCAACTCTAGGATTCTATGATCATGTTGTGGTGACTCCCAACCATAACATTATCTTCGCTGCTATATCATAACGTTTTGCTCCTGTTATGAATCATCATGTAAATATCATATATGCAGGTTGTATTTTCATTCACTGGACCAAATTTGGCACAAATACCCGATATGCCCAAATTTGAATACTGGTGGGGTTGGGGGGAGATTGATTTTGTCATTTGTGAGTTGCAGTTGGTGGGATTTATAGTTCACCTACAATCAAAGAGCATTCTGAACTCCACCAACGATGGAATTGAACCAAACTTGGCACACAGAACTCCCATGACCGACAGAAAACACTAGAAGGGTTTGGTGGACACTGACCTTGAGTTTTGGAGTTGTAGTTCACCTACATCCAGAGAGTACTGTGGACTCAAACAAGGATGGATATGGACCAAACTTGGCCCAAATACTCAATATGCCCAAATGTGAACACTGGTGGAGTTTGGGGAAAATAGACCTTGACATTTGGGAGTTGTAGTTGCTGGGATTTATAGTTCACCTACAATCACAGAGCATTCTGAATCTCATCAATGATGGAATTGGGCCAAACTTCCCACACAGAACCCCCTGACCAACAGAAAATACTGTGTTTTTTGATGGACTTTGGTGATCCCTCTGACGACCCCTTGCCACCCCCCAGGGGTCCCAACACCCAGGTTGAGAAATGTAGAGCATTTATACAGTAATGAGCGCATGGCACCTCTGTGTGTGTGTGTGTGTGTATGTGTGTATATATGTGTGTATGTATATGTATATACATGCACATACATATTAACTGTCCCCTGCCATGCATTGCTGTAGCCCAGTCTGTATATATGTGTTTTGCATGTGTCTATATGTGTATATATGTGTGTGTATATTTATGTATGTGTGTATATATAGTGTTCCCTTGCTACTTTGCAGTTCGCTTTACGCAGACTTCCTGTTTTGTGGATTTAAAAAAAATGAAAATAAAATATTTACATTACAATGGGCCTCAGAAAGGGAAGCTGGTGTGTGGTTCCTTGCGTCCTGTCGCTTCTTTTTGCTCATTCAATCGATGGCTCAGGCTGCGAGTGGAGGTGCTTTGTCCACCTCCTCGTTCCGGGCAAGGATGCTGCCCATTCGAGGCCCCGATGCCGCCCCAATAACATCCAATAATGTATAAATATTACAATTAATATAGCATCCCTACTTTGCGGATTTTTATTTATTGCAAGTGGGCCTGGAATGTAACCCCCGCGATAAATGAGGGAACGCTGTATGTGGTTTTGCACATGCGTTGTAATGTATTTTTAATTTTTGGCTTTTTAAGTCCCTTCCGTTGTGTTTTTTAGGGTTTTGATGAGTGATGGTCACTTGTTGGCCTGATAG